ACGTTGTGTCTATATAGAAACTAGAAACATGTGGATAAATATTATAAATATGAAAACAGTGATCAGAGGCGACGAGCGTGCCAACATTGTTTTTGACAACGCGATCATCTTATGAAGCTCCGTGGAACGTTCAAAGTACCTTTCGAACAGATGTCTAATAATGACATCTGATGATTATGATGATGATTAGACACTAACATTCATAACGCGCCCGCGGCCAACTTCATGGTGTTACTATTGTGTTACAGTGATGCGCGCGCATCTCGAAATTTCACTAACATCATTTTTTCATAACGCGCCCGCGGCTAACTTCATTATGTGACATTTGGGTTACAGTGATGCGCGCGCATTTTGAAATTTCACTCTCATAATTTTTTCATAACGCGGCTAAAGAAGTATAACTTCAAAAAATGTATTGTATTTTTTTTATGTTTGTAATCAAATTAATTAATTGACCTGATTTAAATTGTATTAAATGAATGGCATGTATATTATTTAATTAAGAAATTAAAAGGCTTTAATGATAATACTTATTATTACTATAAACCCTTATTCTTTTTATGACGACCTTCGTAGCCGAGTGGTTTGTACGCCGGGTTTCATGGTGTCGCCAACTCTAGAGGTCCCGGGTTCGAATCCCGGTGGGGGCAGATGTTTGTGTGATGAAAACGAGCATTTGTACTCCAGTCACGGATGTTTAATATGTATTTCTATAGTAATATATTTATATATGTACAATGTATGTATTCTATCCGTTACCCTAGCATTCCATAACACAAGCCTTACAGTGCTTACTTTGGGGCTAGGCTAATTGGTGTGAGTGTTAGAAATATTTATTTATTTATTGACTGACAAGATGAATTAAAAAAGACAGAGCTTATTTAAGAAAAGCGAGCTATAAAATAGGGATGTACTGTATTAGAGCGTAAGTTAACAAGTTAATAGCAAGTTTCTACCAAACTAATTTGAACGAATCAGAAAGATTATTCAATTACACCCAATGTTTTAAATAGTTTTGTAACAAAATTATATGACAATGGAATGGTTACCGATGTCAAGCAGTTTTATTTTTTTTCTTTTTGTAATAATGTAGGGGCATCGTTTATACGTGGGTGAAGACTGCTATTGTTAGAAAATTGCCTTAACATTACTCGCCCACATATGGAAGTACCGTTAAATGCATTGCATAGTTCATACTACATGAGATATTTATCGAGTTTCTATAACAGTAATCGAATGTTACAAATAAACTTTAGAGCAAGTAGAAATAGGAGCACGTATTTTTGTTTGTAGCGACCTTGAGAGGCGATATATCGTTTTTTATATTAGGTGCGTAGTCGTGGTAGAATCCCTAACGGGGACCCCGCGGCTTCGCATTAAGCAGTGTAGAAGATATTCGCAGGACTTTTTTAGCGGATATTATGCCGTAAAGCGCCAGTTAGAGTTGCAGGGTCCTCAGTGGGCTCACTGGGGGGTCCGTAAGACTTGCGGGAGCCAGGGGGCCAATCGCCTAACGGAAATGCTTTGGGAAACGCTAACGCTTACGATTTTATATTGTTATTTCTAGCCACCTGAGGTTTTCGAATACCTCACGCTCATTTTTTTTAATATTGTTATTACCAATGCAAAAGAAAAAGAAAGAGCGCGAGGCATTTGAATACCTCAGGCGGCTAGAAATAACAAAATAAAATCGTAAGCGTTAGCGTTTTCCAAAGCATTTCCGTTAGGCGATTGGCCCCCAGGTGTGAGGTCCGTTCGGCAGTGTGCTTCTTAAAGGCGCCGTGTCGTCTGTAAAAATATTTTTTACCTGCGTTATAAAAAAATGAGTGCGTGTACTTATGTAGGCGCGTGAGAAGTTATCCTTCTTTGGCATCGTTTAAAATTAGTTTTTAATTGCATGCAAATAATTAATTACAATAAATTAATAAAAATATACAAACTAGAAACATGTGGATAAATATTATAAATATGAATACCTATAACTGTTACTTTATTACAAAAAATAAAGATGTGAATTTTATTATTTTTTCTAGTTATATTTTCTTTAGAATAAAGATGTGGTTTTTGGTTCTACTACACCAATGGTCAAGAGATGGCGCTGTAGTCTCCTGAATCGCGCTTTGGTTTCGTTGTTCCAGATTAATAAATACTTTTGATATTATAAATATGAATACCTATAACTGTTACTTTATTACAAAAAATAAAGATGTGGTTTTTGGTTCTACTGCACCTATGGTCAAGAGATGGCGCTGTAGTCTCCTGAATCGCGCTTTGGTTCCGTTGTTCCAGATTAATAAATACTTTTGATAGGCCTTCACAATGCAGTCGTTAGCACCCACTAAATAAAGATTCTATTTCTATTTTGTTGGTAGATTTTCTTAATGTGCGGTAAACACAAAAGTAAAAATTTTGTGTTACAGTGATGCGCGCGCATCTTAAAATTTCACTCTCATCATTTTTTCATAACGCGCCTAAAGAAGTATAACTTCAAAAAAAAAGATGCAGCGGGGCAATTTCGACTGGTAAGTTGTAAAGACCAACTTTGAATACTAATATATATAATTTTATTGTAACCTACAAAACTTGTAACTTTTTTTTATTGGTAAAACTTTTTTTCTTTCTCAATTTTAACTATCTGAACTCCTTTATATGTTTTATGTTATAGTGGAAACTTTTTTGATGTATGTTTTGTTAATTAGATTAAGGTATAAGTATAAATTCATTGTTTGTTTCCCAAATAAATAAAGATAAAATAAAATAAATAAAAATATCATATTGAGTAACTTTACAGAAAATTATTTTAATTCATGCTCCAGAATGGCTATGAATGTTGTTGTATTAAGGATTCGCATTTTAAACTTATGGATTTTTTACACTTTCAATCGTATTTCATAATTAAAAGACAAAAAATAGTTGCAATTCCCCCTCCGAAGGGCAATATCAACTATTGATTAAGCCGTTTTCTTAGACCTATACAGTTTAAACTGAGTTAGCTAGGTACAGAGAAATTAAACCTTATCATTTATTAATCAAGGTTAACTTTTGCAATAAAATACTTCAAACATTAGCTGGGCAATTTAAACTGATCTTCATACTAAATAGTGATATGACTCGTCATAAAAATTAATGTCGATAAATGTGTTAAACGTATTATCGACTCTAATCTTTAATTTTTATTTTCTTATTAATTTAAATATATGAATTATTTATAAGAAAAACTCCGTTTTAAAACAGAAAAATTATACAAAATAAGAATTAACTAATTAAATTAAGCATTTATTACTATTTACATTATTCATTGTCTCCACTATTTATCTCATCTCATACCATCAGTAATAAAATATTAAGTTTTAAGTAATGTAGCTAAGTAATGTATGCTAATTTTCATGTATTTTTACTTACTTTAGACGTACAATACGTCGTACTTTAATGTCCAATGGCAGCGCCCAGACGTTAATTAATTTTATAATTTGAGTAAAGGCGATGTTGCCACTTTGGACTTGGCGATGACATAAGAATAAAGCGACACGTCACTCTGACAAGCATACAATTTAATTGTCGTTCATGACTGCGGCTAATAGTGGACTACATAAACAATAATTTGGCTGCACTTTCTTCGCAGTGGGCAGGTTCCTTTAAATAATTATTGTTATTCGTAAAATAAATCCTACCTTACATAAAAAGTGACAAGTGTCAAGTAAAAGACCAGCATCAGTATTGTAATAGAAAATGATTGCCCTATGCATGTTAGTTTTAAAAAAATATATATCGATTAAATATCGTAACAAGTACATCACTAGCATTTCATATAAAATCTGGAGGGGCATTTACAACTGCCAAGTAGTCTAAAATAGCAGACGCTGTAATTTAAACTGTCGCCAAAATATTGTTGAAATACAAGCTACAACAGAATAACTGAACTATACCATGCAACGGGCAATAGGAGTGATGACGGGGTACAGTAAACGAAATTCTATTTAGTCCGTCAATTAGATGATCAAAAAATAATGGACACTTATTTTTTCTTTGGGCAATCAACCAAAAAATGACGAAGTTATAGCGCGTCAAAGTTTGGGAGTAGGGGCTCGTGACGTCACTTTTGAGTGAAAATTGTACTTGTTTAATTGTAAAACGTGACGTCATGCGACTTTTCAAATCAATATATCTCTGCAGTGTTTATATCATGTGAAAAAAGACAAAATACGAGTCCAATACTTTTTGATAATCTACTTGATAAACGAAGAAAAAAAATTGGTCATCATCCCTTTTAAAACGTGAATCGTATTTATTAAACTTGAAAATTTAGGTTAAATATAACTTTATTATCAAAAATTCGAGGACCCAATTTGCACGTGCATGCTTAGAATTTTGTCGAAAACAAAATGACACTGTCAATAAAAAAATATTAGGGCTTTCGATGTCATCCTTGATGTAGTTATAAAAACGCTTTACCGGCTTTCAAATATAGATGGCATTTTAATTAATTAAGTAAAATACGGAAGCTATTGGCATGAGTTGCAATTTCCCTCAGACGAAATTTCCCCGCTGCTACTTTTGTCAATTTGTGAATTTGGAACCACTCTTAATTTTTTTAGGAAGAATGCTGGCAAGACGATTGTTTTAAAATTTGTACATCTTTAAACTGTAGTACAGTGGAAGTCAAGGCCAACTTTAAAAACAAAATTTAGCAGTTATTTTTCTACTTGAAAACTGAATAATGGATGAATGCTGCAATGTACATAGACGGATTTTTGAATACCAATTAGAATTTTTAAGAAATGTATTACGTGCACCCGAATACGTAAACAAACGCAATAGTTGCCTATACTTTTTGTCATCATTGACGGACAGAACACATGTATATGAGTCATGGAGCGCTCAAGCGAAACAAATACACATCCAGACCGTCCACCATAAACTGAACTTTGCTCTACCTGTGACGTTCCCGTCATTCGTGTAACTTTAATACTAGCAGAGGGAGAGGTGCAGATCAATTTACAATGAACGGGATCGACCGGCGCCAACTCCGTTCGCGGCAAACAGAAAAGAGTTTTCGCTCGCGCCGCGTGCGGACGCCTTGGTTACGCTCCGGCAGTATCGGCGCGAGAATTAAAAAAAAAACTTTCGATGACATTTCATACAAAATGATTCGCGCGCTTTTTTACTTTTTTCTCGTGGCCGCGGTTCAAGGGACTTTCGTGGTGGACGAGGAATGCCTCAACTACACAATTTATCCGGTGCAATACGAACTTGTGATAAGCCCTTATATTTACGAGGACAGAGCTTTCTACGACTGTCATTTATCTATTACAGTGATCGCGAACGCTCCCGATATTCGAATGATCGAATTGGACGCGAAAAATATGACGATAAGTGGGGAATCGATTAAAGTTTACAAGGGAGATAGGAATATAGTGGACCTCCCCCGACCTTTTATTTACGATAAGGAGCGCGGGAAGCTATATATTTATCTAAGCGAGGCTTTGATACCTTATAAGGGTAGACATTTGCAGAACTATGTGATAAGTATGTCGTTTAGGAAAGAAGTGACCTTTGAGAGTAGTGGCGTATTTTTAGTGAAGTACTATGACGAAAATCGGAAAGCTAAGTAAGTATGAGAGTTAAGTATTTCTTATTACCTACTACATTAACATTACACAAAAACATAATTGTTTCTTAGGTTTTCACGTACACCTCTCATGAAATAAAACTAGTTTCAACGGTAAAACCAAAAATATTATCCGATATTAATTATCAATATTTGTAATTGTTTGTTTACAAATGTTTGGTTTTTATTCTTGAATTAGTGGAGTGCAAAAAAAAGGGTCCCAAGTTTTTTTTTTGCAAACCGTACTTTTCAAGCGACATTGACAGATAGAGCATTGGCTTTCCTATTCTTATTTGAATCGCATTTTAAACGGAACTACAAGGAAGAAATTGTATTACGTTAATATTTCAATTGATTATTATATATGCCCTGATTTATTTATTTATTACCATTTCGCATCCTTTAAAGGATGCGTCGTCGGAATTATGAATTTATTTACTTTTCGAAAGACAAACATCTTCCGAAGGTCTCTTTCGCTCTACAAAGTAAATAATGTCATAATCCTGACGACGCATCCTGTAAAAAATGCGAAACGTCAATAAATAAATAAAACAGGGCATCTATATCGTCAAAATATTAACGTAATACAATTTCTTACTTGTAGTTCCGTATACATTTTTTATTTTTATGAGTAAAGTCGGTTTATATTTTTGACTTATGATTTGTCCATGTTTTTTTTTAAAACACACCAATTAGTCTAGCCCCAAAGTAAGCACTATAAGGCTTGTGTTATGGGATACTAGTGTAACGGATAGAATACATATACTTTACATATATAACTATATTTATATAGAAATACATATTGAACATCCATGACTGGAGTACAAATGCTCGTATTCATCACACAAACATCTGCCCCCACCGGGATTCGAACCCAGCACCGAGCCGTAGCCGAGTGGTTTGTACGCCGGTTTCAAGGTGTGGCCTACTCGAGAGGTCCCGGGTTCGAATCCCGGTGGGGGCAGATGTTTGTGTGATGAATACGAGTTAGTACTTCAATCATGGATTTTTAGTATGTATTTCTATATAAATATACATATATATGTATCACTATATGTATCTCTATCCTTTACCCTAGTATCCCATAACAAGAAGCCTACAGTGCTTACTTTGGGGCTAGGCTAATTGGTGTGAGTGTTGGAAATCTTTATTTAATACATTTATTTCATGTTGGTTCATGTTTAGGGTACAGTATTATTTCACTGCGTGGTATTCTGTAAGGTAGAGGGTTCCATTCCAGGAGGGCGCCCCAATTCGATAGGGAAAACTGCTGTGTAACCTAACCTAACCTAACCCTTATAAATAAGATGAGTTAAGATGATTTGAATTGTAACTAACTAAAGAAAACATAACTATAAAAAAATCCACGCGGACCAGGCAGCAGACGGGACATCAAGCAGTCACATGCTATAAAAAAATATCTGTAACTAGATTAATTTAATTTAAATTATAGGGAACCGGCAGAGCCATCTATTAGAGGACGGTGGTACTAACTATAACACAGTTCTCTCGCCCACAGACAACGCCCGTAGACTGCCCCTAGGGCTAAATAGAGGTGTAAGACCGGCACGCACGATTAAAATAGGAGAGTTTGGTATCCATTTCCGGGACGCCATACTTTGGCTTTATCAAGCACTCCTGCGCGTCTAATTTATATTTAATTAAGCAGATATTGGTGTCGATTCTGACAGGATTCTCTAAACTTAAAACTAAATTTAAGATCAGTCTGTCCTTTTCATTCTGTATAGAGAACGACAGGGATACACTGTTGTCAAATTTAAGTTTAGCTTTAGAGAATCATGCCAGAATCGACACCATTGTTGTTAAGTTAAGGAACCTTTTATTTAATTGTATTTATGTGTTTGCATTCATTAAATTCAGTGTCATTTAACCGTTTGCCGTCTTATTTACTAAAAAATCTATTAATTTTAATCATTTAGCTTAAGAAAACAAAATTTATTTACGTGAACAAAGATATAATGGCATGCGTGTACACAGAAATCATTGCATGCAAGGGGTACAGTTCAACATTTTAATCGTAATTATCATGCGTAAATTATTAATTAAAAAGTAACAATAAAAACTAGATTACGCCCGGGTAACTAGATTTCGGGATTAACAGCTGGGTTTCTTATACTTAACTTTACTTCTAGCAACACGCCCTCGCTTCGCTTTGGTGTAGAGCTGAAGTGTAGACTACAGTTTTTGTTCTCAGGCTTGTATTATACACAATGACATTCATCTATGATTCTCCTTATACCTATATGCAAAGTCTAAGCCCGATCGGCTTAAAAGGTTTTGAGTTTTATATATATATATACTCGTATATATAGATAGATTATGTATTTCAGTTAATCCCAGTTTATGCTATGGTTTATTACATATAAGAAAACACGTCACTTTAATTGGCAATTTTAATTGAAATTTCTTAGATATTTCGTTTACTAAGTCTTGGTTTTCAGGTCTTCTGGACATAATAATCTTAGCTTTTTATGATAAAAGTATAAATAGATAAATAATATTATAGAATAAAGTGTACTTTGTTAAAGTAGGAAAATATCGAAATGATTTTAGATTTTGGTCAAAGTGCTAAAACTGATACTGATACGTTTGTGGGTTACTTACAATGCGAAGAGATGGCGCTGCCTTGCAGCTTAAGGCTAGGAAAATTTCGACGCGGCCATCAGGGCCGCGGTAGCATAATTGGTCAGTGCATTCGCCCGGATTGCGAAGGGTGAGGGTACGAGTCCCGTCTGCTGGTTGGTCCGCGTGGATTTTTTTCTAGTAAAACTTTTCTTTAGATTAATCATCTAGCAGTTAGATGCTTAAAAAAAACTAGCAATGCTATTTCTTCTCTCAAATGTTTTAATACTTGTAAAAGTATTCATTTGACATTGTGGGTTACCTACAATGCGAAGAGATGGCGCTGCCTTGTAGCTTAAGGCTAGGAAAATTTCGACGCGGCTTTGCATTCGCCGGATTTCGAGTCCCATCTGCCGCCTGGTCCGCGTGATTTTTTTTGTAGTAAAACTTTTCTTTAATTTTAAACATCCAGCAGTTAAATCCTTAAATTAAAAAAAAAACTTTTGTTTAATCGCAATCTCTTTTTGGGGTCTGGCCCTCATGTTCATGTCTCAGCATCATGGTCAGCATCAGGGTTGCATCTGGAGCGGACGTTCTGCTTCTACTGGTTCCTGACCAGCGCCAGGCAATGGCTTTTATAACTAAATTTAAACTCAGTTAAAAAAGTCCTGTCAATATCAAAATTTATGACAACATAGAGTACAGTAGTCTCACAGTATCACAAACTAACGTTAAGGATAATAATTTTCATAATCGTTTTGTATAGACGCGCGATTCTTCTCATATCTATGCTAATTTGCTTATCGAATTATTAAGTTTCTCTTGTACATACATACGCGAGTCAGCGAAAGTCTATTTCAGTACCCTTAGCACGAACATTATCGAATTCGAATAGTTTGCAAACCGAAATGTCAATGTCAAATTTTGTATAGAAACTTGAACAGGGGTACAGGTTTCAAACTTGAAAATTCGGTCTAATGTGAGTCGGATTCACATGCATTTTTTTTTATAGATAGGTCCGATAAATGACTCCACCCCACCTGATGTTAAGTGACGGTGAAGTCCAGACGTGAAGATAGCTGGTACAGCAGTTCTTACTGCCACACCAGCCATCCTCACCTAGCCGGTCTGCATGTTGCTTCTTCACGTCTCTTCTTCTTCTTGTTGCTACGGGCGTTTCCGCAACTCGACGTCCTTATGGCGCCTGTTTTGCGTGAGGAGGGTGTATGGCCGGAATCACTCCAGCCAGCCCAGCTCCCCCAGGCACGCCCCCAGGGTGACTGCGTGGTCGTGAGTGGTGACTGCCTCTTGAAGGTTTCCCGGTGAGCCGGTGAGGCTGGCAAACAAGCATAATGGTCCGCCTAATGGTAAATAGCCGTCATAACATAATTATAGGAGCTTGCCATACTGTACAGTATGTGAAGAGTTCGATAAGGAGCTCCATGGCGCGTTTCGCTGCGATCGTTGAAGTTAAGCAACTTTCGCAGTGGTCGGTCATTGGATGGGTGACCAAAAAATTTACTACCTTGAGCTCCTCCGTGCTTCGGAAGGCACCGCCAATCCGCACTGGGCCCGCGTGGTGGGTCATGGCCCAATCTCCCTATTCCATCCATAGGGAAGGCCTGTGCCCCAGCAGTGGGGACATTAATAGGCTGTTGATGACGTGTTTATAGATGTTAGGCGATAGATATATTGGCGATAATTTGACCCGCTCAAAGAGGTTATGGAAAACGATATTTTTTTATGTGCAGCTGAAGGAGCGTTCCTAATTCAGAGTTCGCAACTTAATTTTAGCGCAGTTTAGTACCAAAGGAGTGGGATAAGCATAAAAACAAAATCACACCACGGAATCCGCGGTGTTATTTGGCGGGTGTACTTGATAGACGCACATAGAATGATGGGATCAGCCATCGTACATCGCGACAAAAATTTCATCCCCATCATCTTGATGCGTGGCTATCCACAACCGTGCGTTTTTGTCGAAATTTTTTACCACGTACGACAAAACTGTGGAGTATGTTGTCGCCAGCAGTATTTCCGGACCAATACGACCCAAAAACCTTCAAAAAAAGAGCGTACTCCTTCGTTAAAGGCCGGCATCGCATTTGTGATACTCCTGGTGTTGCAAGTGTCCATGGGCGACGGTGATCACTTACCATCAGGTGAGCCGTCTGCTTGTATGCCCCCTATAACATAAAAAAAATGGGTGCGTGTACTTATGTAGGCGCGTGAGAAGTTATCCTTCTTTGGCATCGTTTAAAATTAGTTTTTAATTGCATGCAAATAATTAATTACAATAAATTAATAAAAAGTCTGGAAAAGGACACAGTCAATAAAGTTCAGTTTTAATTTGAAAAAATAAATAAATAATCAAAATATTCAATTAAAATCGCTACTGAATATAATTTATTAGAACA